GGCACCCCGGTAGCAATATTTTCTTAAATGTAGATAAAAACAAACAAAATAATATTCTGGATAGTATCCAAGTCTATGATAAGAGTATAAAAAGGTAAAAGTAGTACTACCCAAGCTCCATACTTTAAAGGACTCCGCTATGGCCCTCCAGTTGTACGTCAACTCACAAAGCAAGGAGTCCCTGAGGTCAAGAGTCATGGTCACCCCAAGTCAGCAATCCCAGAATTCCCCACTTCCAGGTCTTTCTTCTTCTTTTTTTTTTTTTTAAGATGTATTTATTTAAGAGACAGAGCATGAGCAGGGGAGGGGCAGAGGGAGAGGGAGAGAATCTTAAGCAGACTCCCCACTGAGTGCAGTGCCAGCCCTGAGGTGCAATCCCATGACCCCAAGAGACCATGTCTTGAGCAGAAATCAAGAGTCCAATACCCAGCTTACTGAACCACCCAGGCGCCCCTCCACTTCCAGGTCCTTCTAATGGTGTTTGTATTCTAAAGGGAAAAATGAGCCACATGTGTGTAAATTCCTAGGATGACTTCTGAAAGCAAGGAGGCTGGATGGACTGAGCTGCCCATAAGCAAGAGCATGAAAGACATCTTTCTCGGTACAGGATAAAGTGAAATGGGAAGGATAGTGAGCATGGGGCAAGAGGTTCCATTTATACTCTGCTCTGTCCTGTAAATGTTAAGGATGGGTCTGAATAAATGGGTAGAGACACTGGGTACATAGTTTGAAACTTACTTTTAGTTAGGTAGATTAGGAGGTTATGCTTGAATATAGACAAGGTACTCTTGCAGAGTCCCCACCTCTTATCATATCAAACACATCAAAAATGTACATGTTGAATATTAATTTTTGTTATAAAAATTTTAGGAGTTTTTATAGTGTTGGTTTTGAGAGAATTTGGCCAGAAGAAACTCATTTAATTTACAATTGGCTAAGATTTGATTTCTTGGCAATTGTTAGTATACTTGGAACTCTTGTAAAAAAGAGAAAAAACATAAATTATTTGGAAATGATGCAAATTTCTCAAGTTCTTAAATAATTTTTTTAAACTGACAAAATATGTTTTGCAATACTTAATCATTTATTAACTTTGATTTTGAAATTTATTGTTTTTTTGTAATAATATTTTTCAGTTCTCATACACTTCCCTACATCCTTGAAAAGCTTATTGTGTTTAATGGGCCCAAATCTCATAGTATCATTTGATAGCTCAGGGCCTAGCCTTACACTGTGTTGCCTAATACACTAGCCACTAGCCACATGTGGCTATTTAAATTAAAATTCGGTAAAATTAAAAATTCAGTTCCTCAGAGGCATTAGCTACATTTCAGGTGTCCAATAGTCACATGCATTTAATGACTACCATGTAGAAAAATGCAGGTATAGAACACTGCTATCATTGTAGAACGTTTTATTGGACAGAGCTGATCTGTGCCAATCTTAGCCTGGAGGTATAGACGTTGACGCTGTCTGCAGACTACAAATCAACTCAGTTATGAAGTGTTGGGAGATGGGTCTCTCTCCCATGTGAAGGAAAGGAGTATGACGATGACAGATAATGTTTGCAGAATGCTTTGGAGTCAGGTTTCCAATCCAAGTACAAATGACGTGGGACGGAGTCCAGAGCCAAGAGGCTGGAGGAAAGTGTGAACAAATAAGTGGGTGGAAACAGTGATACCAACAGATAACAACAAATTCAAGACTTTGGAAATGAGACCTTGTGGCACATAAGGAAAAGGAGCGCCAGCTTAGTCAAAGACAAGAGGATCTAATTCAGGTATCTGCCTGCCCCCCCACAGGAAGAAGCAGATCTCTGAGATCATGCAGAGGAAGTGGCAGTACAATCTGGCAGCTGATGAAGTGTGAGAGGGAAACAGAAGCTGCCAGGAGACCAAAGAGAACGGGGAGATGGTCCTTCAGAGTCGGGGCCACTGGGAAGTGTCCTGTTTGTGGGACTGGACTCACTTTGGGAGGAAATGGGGGTTTCAGTGGAAAGGATAGTCAGAGGGGGTGACCATCAGAAAACAGGAAGAGATGTGGGACTTGATGGGGTCAGGGGTCAGTGGGTAAATGATTCACACACACACACCGAAAAAACCATGGTGCAGGCCTGAAACAGATGGGCTTTCTCAAGGAAGAAAGAAAATAAGCAGCACTCCTTATTTGGAGGGCACTTTGCTCCTGCAGAGGAAGGAAGAGGAACACCAAAAGAAATGCATACCAAAGGGTCGGTAAAGGTGAAGAGTCCAGAAGAGGAACACTTCTGAAAGCCAGTAGGGAGACCTTAGGGGGAAAAAAATGACACAGAGAACCGCAGGTAGAAAAACCTTTGAGATTAGAAAATGAATAGACCTACACTGATTACTACATCACTAAAAATCTTTCTCATACTACTTGAATATAAGAGGGCAAGGAAATGCCTTGACGCTAGGGCATGGCAGACCACATGGAAAATTCTGGAATCTGGATTTTTACTGCAAGGAGGGCATGCACACTGATTCATGGGGTGAGAGCAGAAGAGAGGTGGTTCTGTAGGTCAGTGTTTAAAAGATCTGAGTCGTACATTCACAGTTATTCAGTAAGAACAACTAAAACTTGTAAAATACTGTATTATTTCCAGAGTGCTTTGCTTGAGCATGTCATCTCATTTAAGTGCCAACTTGCATCTTGTAAGGGAGGCACTACTCTCTCATTTCATGCGTGGATAATGAAGTAACTGAGACAAGAAGAAGACTATTTGTCCGGGACTCTCCGTTCCATCTCTTGTGGCCTTGTTATTTCTTCTTTCCACATTCCTAAGGATGCACTGAAGGGTTTTGTAAAATGTTTCCCTTGCAATAACACCAGATTCCACCTGTCTGTTTTTTGAACTGGCCACCAGATTTTGCTGAATTGAATCTAATTGCTCCAGGACTTTGTAATGCTTTAAAAGTTCACCCTTGGCCAGGAAAGAAAAGAAATAAAAGAGTTTTCAAAGGTGCTTTCATGACTATGTTCCTGTGTCAAAAATTGGCTTATGTTTTGACTCAGATCTATTGGAAATGCCATAGGCCTAGTGTAGATTTTGTCTTTCTTTCTTTAAAGTTTATTTTTTATTTTTTATTTTTAAGTAATCTCTACACCCAGCATGGGGCTTGAACCCACAACCCAAGATCAAGAGTCACATGCTCTATCGATTGAGCCAGCCAGGTGCCCCATGTCTTCCTGAGCTTAATGAGGTTGTTTTGTCACAAGAGGAAAAACAGGGTTTTGAGCTCCTATTGCTAGAAACAGACTTTGGAATAATAGAGGAAGTTTACATGTAGATGAAGCTATAAAACAATTGAGAAATGTATATTTCTTTAAGAGCAAAATAGGGCAGGAGTTTTTATTTGAGAGCTTTAACTAAAAGCAGTTCACTACCATCGGAGACAGGGATTAGATACTTGTTTTTATTTCTATTTTTGCTGTGTGTGTAAAATAATGTAAAAGAGAGTCAGAGACAATAAGTCCGATTTAAGCTTCTTAAGACAATGGACAAGCCTTTAATTATCTCTAGCAAACAGTTTAAAGAAGATGAACAGACCTCATTATGTCACTTTTCTGGTTACAACTTTCCTGAGGCTCTTATATCCTTTAGGGAAGAATCTAGATCTCTCACTGAGGTGGAGAGATGTTCTCATCTGTAACTCTTGACCTACTCTTCTACTTCTGGGTCCATCTCCTGTCAACCTTCACCTCTACTCTCCATCTCAGCAACACAGAAAACCCCAAGTACACAATCCTGTTTCAGGCCTGTCTTCAAGATCCACCTCACACTTCACCCCCTATGTGAATCTTCCAGAACTCCCTGAGACTGAGTCACTCTCCCCAGTGCTTAGCAAAGCTTCCTACAGACCATCCTCCAATGTTCAGCACTCTGCTCAGTTGTTATTTGTTCCTGAATTTTCCCCATCTCCAGTTTTTGAGCTCATTGACGCGAAGGATCCTGCCTTAAGTAATCTTTGTGGTTAAGTGACAGCCCCCAGATATTTCAGTACCAAACAGCATTTATTTTATAAACTAGGTGTCCACCAATGAGAGATACCACCTTGTGACAGGAGTTGAGTGAATAAGAAGGGGCTGAAGTAGGAGTTTATGGTTAAGAAGTAGTAAGTGAACTAGCATGTGTTGATGTCTCTGAAAAATTGGTTCTAATATTTCCACGTTTAAACACACAGTCAATTTAATAAACAGTTGGATTTGGTTGGGATATTAATTGGTGTCTCATTCTCTGAGAAGGTGAAAACGCACCTTGTGTGTTGGATGACTTGAAGGATCCACTTGTGGTCGTGGCATCATTCAGTCATTTCAGTGGAAGAGCATGTACAGAAGAACTATAATGTCATTGGGGTTGAATTTGAAAATGTAATTTAAAGTGGTGGCAAGTGCCATGGTAACAGTAAATAGCAGCCCAGTGTGGTGGGCTAAATAAGGAAAATCTACATAATTTTTGATCTTGAAAATTAATGTCAAATGTTTTTAACCTGATAAGAATTTTTCTTTTAGTGCAGTTTAGTTATGTTCTAAATCTGTGATTTCTAAAGGGTGTTTTAAATCATATAGGCTTGGGGCGCCTGGCTGGCTCAGTAGGTAGAGCACATGACTCTTGATCTTGGGGTTGTAGGTTTGAACCCCACATTGCGTGCAGAAATTGCTTAAAAACAAAATCTTTAAAGAAGTAATGAAGAACACAGGCTCTATAGAGTATTAATAAATATTATATACATATATGTTTAAGTTTCACCATCAACTTTGAGAAACATTGGATTAAAAATGATGAAGGTGGTTTCTTTACTATTTTTTTTATTTAAATTCAGTTAGCGAATATATAGTACGTCATTAGCATTAAGGAGGGCACATGATATGATGAGCACTGGGTGTCATATGCAACTGATGAATTACTGAACTCTACATCTTTCCTATTGTTTTTGTTTTTTTTATTTTTATTATTATTTATTTATTTATTTTTCCTCTGACCAGATTTATTGAACTTAAGAAAATTCTATGGACAAAGTGGCCTGGACCTGCTGCTTCAAAACATGATCCTTTCTTACTAATATTTGGGTAAGTCAGTCCATTGAGTGTCAAAAAGCAGCTTACTCTAAAATTAATAGAAATGGGCCCAATACAACACTAAATAAATGGCCTAACTCCTGGAACTTTCATAGTTCTACAAGATCATTTACACAGGTAGGATTGAGCCCTGGTGACAGGCTGCTGGAGAACTGATATACGCTGTCAAGAGGCCGTCTTGTGCACTGCCACGGTGATGCCGTCATGTTTCTGGATTATAATGTTCCCATTATCTGATTCCAGACACACCACAGGAATATCAGTGGGGTCTGAGGTCAGCTTAGCTGCTTGCTGGGCTAGAACAGATATCACCCCAGCATGCTCATCTGACAGGGTCCCACGGCAGCCCAGATTAAGTCCTTGTGAATCTGTGCACAGGACTCCAACAAGGGAGGGATTCTTCATTGTATCCCGCAAGTGCTGCTCCAAGATGGCCTCCGTCCCACCCGCCGTCCGCCGGGCCCAGGATTTTCCTATTGTTTGTGGTAACTGGTGATGAATTATACCTCTCCAAGAGATGTATGAGGTATGGAGTAGTTTTAAAATTTTCCTCACAGCAGATATCTGTCCCTGTCTGTCTGTCCGCTCTTCTCTCTCTGGCTTTCTTTAGCTTTGATTTGCCGTCCTCGTTTATTTGGCTGCTCTAAGAAAATATTACAGACTAGGTTGTTTATAACAACAGAAATTTATTTCTCACAGTTGGGGAGGCTAAAAAGCCTAAGACCTAGTTGCTAGCATGGTTGTGCTCTGGGAAAGACTTCCTGGTTCATGACCGGCTCCTCCTTATCCATGGCAGAAGGGGCTGGGTGATCTCTCTGAAGCCTCCTTTCTAAGGGCACTAATCCCATTCATGAGGGCTCCACCCTCATAAATTAAGCACCTCCCAATTCCCCACTTCCTAATACCATCATCTTTGAGAATTAGGATTTCAACATATAAACTTTGGGGGAACACAAGCATTAAGACCACAGCTCTTGAGCATCCCAGAAAACTGTCTCCAATGTTAGTGTTCATCTGGATATTAATAGTAGAGGCATTTACTCTTCTGTCTTCTCCTGATTTAAAAGAAAAAAGAAAAACACAAGACGTAAGCAAGCTGACGTTACGTAATACTGTGAGATTTTCAAGAGACATCCTTTGAATGAAAGTCAGTCTTGTCCTGGCTAGCAAAAGTGAGAAGCTAGGAGGCTGGATACTTAATGCTTATTCACATGCTTGCTCAAAACAAAATGTTACAACTGGTATAGTATGTGATATAGTTATAGGGAGCTAAATTCTTATACAGCTCTTAATTTACAACAGCATTTCCCAAAGAATGTTTCACTAAACAGTAGTGTCTCCTAGCTATGAAAGAGAGAAAGGGAGAGTGAGAGGAAGGGGGTCGGGGGGAGAGACCATTTGCCCAAAGAAGCAGTGAACAACTGAATAATTGTAAGGAATCTTTGAGCTAGGGAAATGCCAAGGACACTTCAAGTAGGCAGAAATAGCAGAGACATTCAGGCTAGTGCTCAAAGGATTTGAATTGCACTGATGTGGAAGTATTAAGTGTTATAAGTTAGAGACAGAGTCAGAAAGAGAATCATCTAGATGAGAAAGCAAACGATCCATTTAGATCATGGATTTATTTTTTTTCTGTTTTAGTGTGGAAAAACATTTTAGAACATTTTCCTTTCTTAAACACCCACGTCTGTGTCAGCTGAAGATTTCCTACTACCACAATAAATAAAACAAGGTGGGAATGAGAATGGAGAGAAAGAGGAAGTGTTTTTCACAGTGAATCACTCTGGGCTTGATATAAGGCTGAAACCTTTCAAGAAATAAAATTTATTTTGAACAATGATTACAAGATGAAAATACCAGTGTATTTCACAATGTAAATGGTATGTTTGACCAAAAGAACAATACAAAACAAAACAAAGGCAACTAAGAATGGATTATAGAATAATGTTTTGTCTGTCCTTAAATTTTTTTCTGACCAGGGGCGCCTGGGTGGCTCAGTCAGTTAAGCGACTGCCTTCAGCTCAGGTCATGATCCTGGAGTCCCGCGATCTAGACCCGCATCGGGCTCCCTGCTTGGCAGGGAGTCTGCCTCTCCCTCTGACCCTCCCCCCTCTCATGCTCTCTGTCTCTCATTCTCTCTCTCAAATAAATAAATAAAATCTTAAAAAAAAATACATTTTTTTCTGACCAAATTTTATACGACAATTCATACCTTTTTGGTTTGGGCTGTTGAGGGGTCCTTTTTCCTCCTTGAAAGAACCTGAGAAGAAATGATTTTTTACCACTAAGTCAAAGGGGGCATATTTACATAGTTCCTCATGATGTGACCAGGAAATCCTGTGTAGAAAAAAAGCTGCAGAAAAAAGAAAAATGTCGCCTGCTTATGTTTTCTTAAACTTCCCCTGCCCCACCCCCAGAGCCACTTAAAATAAGGCCTCACTTTCTTTTTTAAACTATGGATATTAGCGCCGAGGCTTGTATTTCAGGGGTTGCTTGTCTTTAAAAATGTCTTTGCTGATGAGAACCTAAAACGGTGGAGATTCAGATGTATCTTTCTCTCCCTTCTGGGCCGTCCAGTCCCACTAGGGACAGGTGAATCTCCATGTGACGAGGGCATTCCTGCTTCAGAGGCTTCTAATCTTTTGCCTGACATGCCATCAGCTCTCCCGCTGACGTCTGGGAGCTGTGTGTCCCAAACAGAAAGGATACAGGCTCTGTGATCTCTCTCCTGAATGACAGGGACCCTGCCAGCCAGGAGGGGGCTGTCACTTCAGAGCCCACAGCAAGGACAGCAGCTGCAGCTGACGCCTTAGGGGAAACCAGATGCACTAATATTTTGAATGTGCTTTCAGGTTTGCTAGGAATGTACCGACTTGCTACAGTTGCTTTGCAGGATCCTGGTATTTGAAATCTGTCACGCCGCCAGTTCCAATGGGGGGAAGAGTATGGTAACTCTGAGCACTAGGCGCCGTGTACTAAATTTTACTTGAGGGTTCACACATTCTTGCTGACAAGTTCTATGAACCCCAGGTTTTAAAAAAGGAAACTTACCCAGAATGTCTAAGAATACGTGGTGAGTCAGTGCTATAAATGGTAATCCAGTGGTACATGTATTCTCCAATAATTTAGAATCTACCTAGAATGTGTATTCTGTCTTTGAGAAGGATGGGGTCCTTCTTCACTACCTGGGAATGAAAACTTAGCAAGCTAAATCAATTGCTCTGGAAAAGGTTAATTTTATTTGGAAGGAAGCACTGTTACTATAATTCAGAGACAGAAACTCATGCCTTTTACATTATCTGTATTTGTCCATGGTGGCTATAGGGTATTCCAATGGGACTCACTCTCCTATTCCTTTTCTTTGTAAGGAAGGCAGATTTTGCCTTCGCCTGATCGGGGTCTCTCTTTCTCTAGCTCTTTCCCCAAGTTGGCTGTTTTTGTCACTTTTGGAAGTGTAAGATGACAACTTAAAGTTGTATCACAGGGTTCAAGGTTTTAAAGGCCATGTTTCTTCCTTGTTCCATTGACGGAGTCTCTTGGCCCTCAACCTAAGTGGTATTTGACACTTTTGAAACTCAGCTGGATTCTTTGATCAGCTAGTAAGGATTTTCATTAAGCCAGAGCAAAAACAGGAGAAAAGGAAGTCATCATGCGATGAACTTCCCCTACAGGAGATTTTACCTCGAAGGACAAGGACACGTGCACGTTGCATAAGCAAGGATGTTGTTTGACTTGTTCTCCCTGTATCTCAGGCACATAGCACAGTGCCTGGCATGAAGTAGGGACGACCTAATGTTTATTGACAGAAAGCATTAGCGAGCGCATAAGCAAATTAATAAGTGGCAGGCTTTCAGAAGGAGGTCTCCATGTTATTCTGGGAAGAAAAAGGAAGGCGACTATTTTCAACTCTCTTGGCCATTTTTTTCCTTTACCTTTAAGTAACATAAATGTATGTTGTATGCATTCCAGGGGCTAAGTAAGATCTCTGCCTTCCAGTCATTTTTGGTAACAGCTTGGAATTCTGATGGCTGGCATCAAGTCCTGGGCCCTTCAAGTGTCAGAACCACATCATTTATTCCCTGCAAAGTGCTCGTCTTAGGCTGTTGCAAAGATTCAGGGAACATGAACTTGGTAGTTTACATCATTGTTTCTCATCTCTAATTCCCGACACATACTTGGTGTTCTGCTGGTATCGTGGTGGAACTGAATTAATAAATTTCAAAAGCATATTTTCAAATACAATTACAATAATATTTTCACTTAGTGTAAGTAGTTCTTCAATTACTTTCTGCTAAAGAGGGATGCTGAGAGCACTGCAGAAAGTTCCTTAGGGCTGAACTTCTTCTACATGGACATTTATCGCTCCAGCTTACATGCCATGTGTCTTTCTATGACACTCAGTTTTCTTGTGTATAAAATGGAGATATATTTACCTTTTGAAGATATAGTTGTATTTTCAAGAGAGCCCGTATAAAAACACCAAAATTCCGGCACATTATAAGTCCTCTGCTCAAAGCTGCGCATTGGCAGTGTTGTTTGGGATCAGTATGCGGGATAGGTGATGAAGACACAAAATGAAAAGTACTCTGACTTTACTCTCAAGCAGCAACAGTGTCAGCACTTGAATAAATGAGTCATAATGCAACTGTGCAATAATAATAAATGAATAAAGAGATTAGGAACACAGTGATTAACTTTCTCAAGGGTCCTCCAGGAAAACTTGCTAGAAAATGGGAACTCTGACTTCAGACTGTTCGAATGAGTATAAATGTGTCAGGCAAAGAAAATAAAAAGGGTCACTGTAGGCAGCAGAAATGAATTTGCAAAGACTTGATATGTGGGATCATATTTCATATTCATGAAATAGAAGTCCAGAATGACCAGCACCTTCAATGAGGGTTTAGACAAAGCAGAAGTGGGGAAGCAGGGTTTGAAGCAGGGGGGAATGTTTGTTGGAGGCAGATTGTGGAGGAACGTCTATGGTAAGTCAAGGAATTTGGTTTTCTGTAATGTAGTTTGTGTTTTAGGAAACTAGTTTGGGAGGTGGTATGAATGATGGCATAGTGGTTAAAAGGATGGAGTCTAGAACTAGGCTGCCTGGATTAAAATCTTGCCTCTGCTATTTGCTAGTTGATTACCTCAGGGTAAGTTACTGCAACTTCCTGGGCCTCCTCGGTTTTCCCAGCTGTAGAATGGGGATAGTAAAAGCATCTGCCTCGCAAAGTTGTTGCGAGGTTTAAAAGAGTTAACCTACAGTTAGAATAGTACCAGGCACATAATTAGTGTTATAAATAAGTGTTGGTCAAATAGTCATAGTAAATTAATAATAAGGAAAAATAAGTGTTTGTTTAAATAATCATATAAAGTAGGATGTGGCTAACATGGAGGCAAAACCCAGATGGTGGTTTTCTTATGGCCCAGGTGAGAATCAGGTCTAAACCTTACAGTCATTTTAGTGGACTACAGTAAATGCAGAAGGGAAATTCTCAGGTTCCAAACATAGAGGAATCTGAATAAAACAACAAGGTTTTTTAAAACACAGGTGAGCTTGAAATCATCAGTGAGTGGGAGCAAGTAGACAAAAACACATAGTAGTACTCAAACCAGATCCAAGTCCCATTGCTGGGCCTGGGACCAGCAAGACATGGAGAAACCAATCTTGAAGACATGTGCATCTTGGGATACCTGGCTGGCTCAGTCAGTAGAGCATGTGACTCTTGATCTCAGGGTAACAAGTTCAAGCCCCATGTTCGGTGCAGAGCTTACTTAATAATAATAGTAATAATAATAAAAGACATGTGCATGCATACGGAGACCTGAAAGGAAGCTATCTGTATAAAACTAGAAGCATCGAAGAGCTGCACAAGCTATGAAACTGGGACCAGAAAAATCTTTTATCTATTAGCCTGGGGCATGTGACAGGAACATTTTATTCTCTATAGTTCCATAAATGGAAAAAGTGTCACCTGTATAAATATAGGTAGGCGAAGCAGCTCCGGGGTTCTAATGAATATTACTCACAATGTATGGAGATTTTAAGCCAATGAAATGAACATAAAAACTGTTCCTGAACAACCCAAGTATGTGCCATATAAGAAACATAGTTCAAAATCAATGACATGGGGCGCCTGGGTGGCTCAGTTGGTTAAGCGACTGCCTTCGGCTCAGGTCATGATCCTGGAGTCCCGGGATCGAGTCCCACATCAGGCTCCCTACTGCTCAGCAGGGAGTCTGCTTCTCCCTCTGACCCTCCCCCCTCTCATGTGCGCTCTCTCTCTCTCTCTCAAATAAATAAATAAAATCTTTAAAAAAAAAAAAACAAAATCAATGACATGGGTGGGTAGAAAAAAGATGGAAAAAGATATACATGCCAATTTTAATTTAAAAAGAATGATGAAGGGGTTCCTGGGTGGCTAAGTTGGTTAAGCTTCTGCCTTTGTCTCGGGTCATGATCAGGATGGAGCCCCTGTTTCAGGCTCCCTGCTGAGCAAGGAATCTGCTTCTCCCTCTCTCTCTGCCCCCCTCCCGACACATGTGTGCGATTGCGTGCACTCTCTTTCTCTCTCTCACACTCTCTGTCTTGAATAAATAAATAAAAGCTTTAAAAATAAAAAATAAAAAAATAAAAAGAATGATGAGGTAGACTTTGGAGCAATGAAAATTCCTAGGGAAAAAGAAGGACATTACATAATGATCAAAGTTTTTAAAATACTTTTATTTATTTTTTTAAAGTAAGCTCTACACCCAACATGGGGCTTGAACTCACAATCCCAAGATCAAGAGTCACATGCTCGGCTGACTGAGCCAGCCAGGTGCCCCTGTAATGCTAAATTTTAGACTAATCCACCAGGAGGACATAACAAGCTTAACAGTGTACACACCAGCCCTATGTGAAGGAAACAACAACAACAACAACAACATGAAGCAGAAATTGATAGAGCTGAGAAAGGAAGTAGACAAATCCAAAATTATAGTTATCTGGGTTGTAAAAGAACCAAACAAAATGATCAACCCACAGACCTACTTGGCAGATATGGAGCATTTCACTCAAGAGCAGCAGAATACACTTGTTTATAGGTCTCCATGGAAGAATAACGAAGATATTCTGAGCCCTAACACAAAGAATTGAAGTCATATAAAGTGTATTCTCTGATCATAGTGAGATCCCACCAGAAACCAGTAACAGAAAGAAAATAGAGATATCTTCAAACACATGTAAAGTAAACAACACAATCTAAAAAATGCTTGGGCCAAAAAGCAAGTCTAAAAGGAAACAACAAAAAAAGAATAGAATGGAAATGAAAACACAGCATAT